CGGGTCCGGAGCTGTTTGCGTTTCTCTTCCCCCTCTGCTGTTGTAGTATTGATGGTGACAGGCGGAGCTCTGCGGGACTCCGAACCCGGCCGGTGCCGGGCCTGCCCCGGGGGCCGCTGCGGGAGACGGGCCCTGCTGTGACTTACCCGGAGGAAAGCGGTGACCTGTAAGCAGGGAGCCCCGAGTCACTGAGCCGGCCGCATCGCCTTCACCTCCCCGCAGACCCCGCGGGAGACGCGCTCCTCGGCGCTGGCCTCTGGTCAGCAGCGCGCCGGCCTGTGCAATGGGCTGGCTCGTTTCGAAACTGGGAGCAGCAACAGTTGGCTGCTTGGGCAGATGCTGTGTTGGGAGAAATAGCTGCTTTGCAGTAGTTCTCTGACTCGAGGTAGTACCGTGTTCTTAAGGTTAGTGAGCAGTCGTAGATTAGTTTCAACAAGCCACAAACGATCTGGACTGTATTTACAACAGAGGCAAGATAATACTGAAAAATGCCGAACCAGATGCTTTGTTGATAAGTGGTGAGCTTGGGTGGTTTCTGAGTCCCACTTGTTAGAAGGAAGTGTGACGTCTGCTCTCGGTGGAACATTTTGTCAAGGTGGGTGACAAAACAGGTGAGACACCTGACAAGTCATGCTGAATGCACACAGCTCAAGTGTTTCCTATTTCTAAGGTAACTGCATGGGCATTGACTGAGATTATGGGCAGGACAAGTCGGAGTGAGGTGACTGACAAACAGGAAGCAAAACTTACTTGGCAATAGTTTGTCCTTTCTAGACTAGTTACTGTCTTGTTTTTTTCTGCACTTATGCTTTTAAGCTTGCTGTTAACTGTTGATCCTGTTGGCCTGCTGTCTCCAAACCAAACTCGTAGCAAGCCTGGTATCTACTTGTCTCTATTCTGTGGAGAAATACCTAATCCTGTTTGTTCTTCTAGCACAGTGTTCATGGATATTTAATTCATTTTAATTGATGCTGAAATGGCTACTGTTGGTATTCAGTAAGTGGAAGAGAAACTGTGCAAACATAACTTGGGAAAAGTGGACAGTGATGTTTTGTGACCCCGCAATGGGCTATCGCTAAACGGTGGTGGGAACTCTTATCTGCGAATCCCGTCGGAGGCGATCATGGTTTTAGCCAGATTTGTCTTTTGTTCTTTAACCATCCCCGCTAGGTGAATATTGCAGTTCTCCTTTGCCTTTTGAAATAGCATTTAACTGCTCTAAAAAACTTTTTGGATGAGGAAACAGCACAAAACCTTTGAGAACGGGTCCATGCATTTCCTTAACTTCCCTCCAATGGAAACTTTATCCTGTAGTGTTTGACTGAAGGGAAAGTAGGAAGTGAGAGTTTCTTGGGATTTTTTTTTTGTAAACAATCGTAGTTGAGATGTGAAAGTGCCTGAAATGGCCATGTCATGATTGATGTGTGCCTGATATATTTGAGGTAGGTTCAAAGCGTGAAAGTTAACTGGTCTTAATATATGGGAGTGAACGAATGTGCTTAGTTCAGCTGCTCTGTCAACTAAAGTTACAGTGTCTAGTCAACATCGTGTCTTCCCGTTGACTGGAACTGTGTGCGGTTTTCCGGTACGTAGAATGTTCAGGTGGCCTTTCCACATGTAAGCACCTAAATTTGAACTGGTTGAATTGATCAGTAGCTTATTTTACTGTTAATGTGACTTAGATTGTAAAGTTTTGCTGTCTGTAGATTTCGGAATGATAGACATCCTGAGATTTAACTGTGGCGTGATTCTAACCCTCTTCCTCCCTTGGAGTGCTTCTCGTGTGGGGCGTCCTGCTCTTCGTTGGGTCTCTTTGTGTCTGGCGTGAGGAGCAGGTAAGGGACCATGTGCTAAAGAACCAGTTTAGCAGTGGTGCTTTCAGCATGTTTTATGTGGTGCTTTTTGACAGGAGTTTAGAACCTTATCAGCAAACACGTTGCTGTTTCTGTCACTCGAGCAGTTTTATCCTCTATGTGCGGTACATGTGGCCTGAAATCTTTACAGCTCTTGAAACCCAGTGGGAGTAGTTACTTAGTTTTGAAAGATACTGAAAAAAAAAACTACAAAGTGCAGCTTGAAGTAATTTTGAAATTACTTTTTTTGTAAGGCTCTTTGCAAATTTGTGGAAGGCTTGAGGTTTGTCATCTTCAGCAGCCGGGCTTAGTGACTCCTAGTGATCTGCTTCAGGTTAGGAGAGAGTCTTTTTGTCAGACCCAACTGCTGGTTACATATTATCCCTCTGTATTTTGTGATTTCTGGGTTCTTGCCTAAAATTTTATTGTATTTGTGTTTTAATGACCCGACAGAACTCTGCTGTTGAAAAGAATGTACTGAAATAGGTGCCAAATGTTTTGCTGATAGCCTGTTATTTTCCTTAGGAAGTGTTGAGGCTCTAATACTTCAGATTTCAGTAAACGTTTTCTACCTTTGAAAGATCAGCTTCCTTGCACAATGTGAAATGGTAATCTTTTAAGAGCTCCTGTGTCTGATAGCTTAATCGGCTACTGTATCATAGGAACTGTAACTGAAAGTAGCTAATTTTGTCTGCAAAATTAGCGAGTCTTTTGGTAAACTCTTTGTCTGAGGCGTGAATTTTCTGAACCTGTGAAGCTGGCAGGTTTGCCCCATGGACTGAAAGCTGCTTGAATTGTTGAGGCCAGTGTAGGGACATTCAGTCCCACTAAGAATATATGCATCTAAAAATAAAAGTCTACTTTGCATAGCATTCATAGCTTTCTTAATCAGTGCCGTAGAAATTGAATTTTAGCCTTGCATTGAATGACCAGAGAGATACCTGTGCACTTCTGCTTTCCGGGCAGGGCACCTTTAATTACTCTGATTTTTCTATACTATTGTAAGTTAGGTTGCACCGTTTGAAATTCTGAAATGCCGTTAGCCTGGTGCTGGTGAGAGCTGTCAGGTTTTTTCAGTGTATCAGGATACATGCTGTGCAAACCGTATATTTAGAACATAAATAGGAGGCTGCTTCCTTCAGCTATTGTGCTCTGTCCTTGAGTCGCGGTGTCTGCTCGGGCCCTTGTTCTGCTTCCTTGAAAGGGAAAATCCCATTTTGACCCTGACTTGGGTTCTTCGGTGGCACTGCCAGATTTTACAGTTAGAAAGTGGCAAAGCTGGTTGTGCTTCCGTGCCATTAAAGCACATTGAGATGGTAGTACCTGCTTTTCTTGGGAGAAGGCAGTGATGCTGATAGGCATGGGGTCCGTGCTCTGCCAGGGTGTTGTATGGCAGCAGGCAGGGTTGCATTTATGACTGAGCCCAGCTCAAGGAGCTCCAGTACCCGACAGCTCGATTTTTGGGTGGAGTAGGTGTGATTGCTGTGCTGTTTGTATTGGTCGGAGGAACAATGCCCAGAGAAATGTGGTTTTTCTTCCTAGGGGCCTGAAAGGCAAACTCTGAAACTTTTTATTACTGCCTTGAAAATGACTGAGTTGGAGTCTTGGTTTGTGCCTGGTTCTCGAGGCCTGAGTTCAACCAGCCCTTGAGTTCTTCAGGCTGGTTGCTGAAATCTGGTGCTTGGACAGGGACTGAATTCCCCTGGCGAGATTCTGGCAGTGGTTTTTGTGGGTGTTGGTACTGTGGCATGGTGGTCTGCTTGATTTTTTTAACAGATATTTTTTCCAGAAGTGCTACGTTGGTCCTGTATGTTACGCCCTGCCAGTATGAACCGCTTGGGACGTGTGTACTTGCCATGCCCAGTGACACTTTCTGGATTATTCTAAAAGAGGCATAGAGTTATTTAAAAAAAAAAAAAAAATCAGGTACTGTGCTACTGAGAAATCTTAACTTTTGTGCCTATCCCCCTTCTTAAAAAGCTGTTTCACAGTCAGTGGGCTTTTAAACCTGTATATAAAGGCAATTAATTATAGCTTGTCAGATGTACAAAAAAAGGAAAATTTAAAGTCTTCTGTAATTCTTCTTGCTGCAGTTCTAAACATGCTCTGAAATTTTTTCATAGCACAACTGCCTTGTCATTGAAGAATGCTTTCAATATTACTGCTTGAAAGTTTATTTTTCGTGAAGTTTTTTGTGTAAGTAGGCGCTTAAGTAGCTGCTGGGAGTAGGCAGGGTCTGCTGTGGCATAATGAAAGTATGGAAGTCAGTCGATGATTTGACTTCCCTTAGAAATAGTTTGCCCAAGTTCACATTTCATAAACTTTTTCCAAAGAGCAGAGTGGTGTTCAATGCCCGTGACAGGACTTGTTGCTCCTGCTGATTGGGGTGTCTGTGGAGGATGAAGAGGAGCGGAGGTTCCCCCGAGATGTTGCGTGTGAACTTGCTGGTCCTGCCGGGAGGTGTCTTGCTGCCTCTGCTACGGAGATTATCACTGTGTAGATTCTTTCTTGTATGGGGGCAGAATACGTTCTAAAGCGCAGGCAGAGGTTAAAGAAGCTGTAGTTCTAAGTGTGAGCTAGTGAAAACCTTTGTATAATGGGAGAGGGGGAAAGATTTTTCTAGTGCTACCCAGCACAGCCTTTTCAGCTTGCCTCCGTACCATTCCTGTTTAGTTCCTGCGGAAGGACCACTGCTGTGTCGAGCCGTGCTGCTTGCTGAACTGATTTGCCCTAAGCGTTACATGTGCCAAGTTAACACGTCGCCTATGCGATCCATCTCAACGATGAGGCCGAAATCGTGTACTGGTGGTTTTGGCCATAGAGCCAAGACAGCAAAGCAATAGTTCTTATTCTGAAAAAGGCATTGTCAGACTCTTGGCACGGAGCCTGGTGACCTTTGTGTTTTGATCAAGAGGAGCTTCGAAACAGTGACTCTTCATCTTGGTTCCACCTCTGATAAATTGCTCCTCTGAGCAGCTTACGGCTTCCTTTGAGACTCCTCAGGCTGCTGGTTATGCAGGACTTGCTTTGGGATGCAGTTTTATCACATTGGCAATCTGTAATTTAACAGATGAGATGTCAAGTGCCAAGTTTTGTGTTGTCACAGAAATTTATTAAGCTGGCAAGCTCTGCTGTTGTAGCTCACTGGAAAGCTGTTTCAGTATAAGCCAAATGTTAGGGTTAGTTTATTGCAGTTCTTTGTGTGTGTTGCTCATTCACAATTGCTTGTTTTGGTGTGGAGTGTGGAGTGCAATGCTACTTTGATGGTAGTGAGGCAAAATATTGCGGAGATGGTTAAAAAGCACTTTGGTGGTTGGGTTTTTTTTGTAAACTTGTGATTGATGCTTCGAATGATTCTGACCTCTGATTGTTGCTGTGTGGTATCTAATTCATTATGCATCTTGTTTTCTTCTTTCTCACAGTGCTGAAAGGGTACTCATTCTTCTGACAGAGCTGTTTGCTAGCTCTTTCAGACTGGCAAAATGTAGAAATGAATAAATGTGGTCGGGTAGTGTGAAAACAACAAAGTTTGTGTTGTGAAAAGTTAATAGCACTTCTTTTTCCTTGTGGACATGGTTATGTCAAATGGTTTATGTAAGCTAAGCTATCAAACATCTGTGTTATCAATTTCTTTGCTAAACTTTATTTTTCTTGTTTGACAAGCTAGTTCTTAAGCAAAAATAGAAAAGAAAAAGCTCTGACACATAGTGCTGAATTCTTCTAGGATTTAACTTTCTACCCTGTAGTGTTCTGCTGGAAGCAGAAAATATAGAGGCACCACTAACTGCTTTTAACACCATACCAACAGCTTGAAGATTTTTTTTTTTAATTAAAAAAAGAAGAAACCAACCTAAAAAACTTACTTTTAAATCCACTGGTTCCATGACAAGATAGCAGCAGTGCCTTAGAACATAGCTGTGAGGTTGCTACAGAACTTACATGTAATGCAGCATTGTCTTTTCAGGTGCCATGTTTCAGAACAGAGGAAGACAACTAAGAAAGAAGAGCTGAAGGAAGTAACACAGAACCATATACAGGCTAATTGGGGGAAAAAAAATTAACCTGTCTCTGAGGTGACTAAAGGGGAATAATGGTGATTTTGCGCCGGGCTCGGCCGCCTGCTTCCGCCCCAACCAGCAATGAATCTTGACTCGCTCTCGCTGGCCTTGTCTCAAATCAGCTACCTGGTGGACAATTTAACCAAGAAAAACTACCGAGCCAGCCAGCAGGAAATACAGCATGTAAGTAAACTCATGATACAACACAAGACATTTTGGAAAGAGGCAGTGGGAGTGTCAAATGGAGCTTCTCTTCTGGTTTGAGTTGCGCTCTGCGGTGCTGAGAATTGCAGCTCGTGTCTCTGATGTTCCTTCGGTTTCATCTGTCTGGTTGTGGAATACGGCAGCTCAGAGCTGAGACCAGTGTTAACTTTGTGGTTGAATATTAGGATTAACTGCTGCTCTTGGAGAGTGGTGTGCAAAGCTTGCCTAACTCCTGTGAGGGTAAATCTTAAAACTTTTGGAAATTGTATAGAACACAGATCGGGAGAGGGAGGAGAACATACACATTTGCTATTCAGGGTTTTTGTACAGAAAGCGTGAGTACATGGTTACTTGCATCTGAATGCTTCCACTTACCTCCGGTGAAAGCTTTTTGCTCGTCATCTCATTCGATGAAGCATGGCTTGGTGGCAAAGCCAAGCTGACTTTCTTGACACTGGGTTTTCAGAAGGCAGGCAGAGCAACTGCAGATTGAACCCGAAATATCTGAGATCTGGGCAGGAATTCTGGTTTAACTGACTGTTTTAAAAATAGCTCTGACTAGCAGGATGGACTGAAAAGCATTATCCACAGAGGAGTGCTTAGGAGGAAGTGAATGCTACTGAGCCAGTTTTAGAAACTGGCTTAGTGCCGTTCCCAGCAGACAGCTGGGCCAGTTAAAATTTTTTTTTTTCTTGCACTAGTGCAGTCCTGCGGTGATTTGCATGAGATTAGGAGGCCAGAGGGCTTAAGCACAGTGAGTTTCTGGTAACAGCTGACTTCTTTGAAAGTGCATTCATGGCTTATCTTGAGGTGAGAGGGGGTGATTTCAGCAGTATTCACTGCTTGGAATGATCTCAAAGGCCATGGAGATGGAATACATCTCTTGTAACTTTTTACAAGTTTCTGTGTTTTTGCAAGTTCGATACTTGTGGGGGGCTCAGCTGAGATCATGCTGTCCTTTGGGTCCCTGGTAGTTTCAACAGACGATTTTGGCAGCAAGGTGTGACTGGCTTGCAGATCTGTCACATGCAGGATGATAAACATTTCTTTGATTTGGGAGGAGATAGGGTTGATCTGCCATTCAGTTGGAATACAGCCATCTAAAGTGGGACAGATTATTCCTTACCTTTCATGGCAGGCCCCTTACCAGACTCACTGTGGTGGGAGACTGAAAACGGGTCTGTGGGACATGGCTGGTTTGTGTATGTTTTGATTCTAAGACGGATCTAGGGTTTCAAGACTGAATTCCTAAAATCTCCATGACCTTTTTTTTTTTTAACTTTCTGATACTATTTTCCTTTTGTGGTTGTTAGTACAACTTCTCCTTAGATAGTTGAAGAGGTTGTATGTGCATGCTTTAACTCTCTTTGTCTACAAGTACACTGCTTGGTGTAAATTTTTGGCATATTTCACTCAATTTTACAAGGCTATATAAGCATACAGGGTATGTGGAAAACCATACCTGGAGTTGTTCTTGTCACAACTGACCAAAATGACACTTGCATTTAAATACATCACTTACAAGCATAGCTGTGGCAAAGATTGAGCAACTAATTTCTGCTTAAATATGCTTTCAGTAGTCATTTAACATAGGTGATGCTTTAGGACTGTTTTAAAAAAATAGGACGTGCATTAAAAAAATCCACCTTTTATGCGTTTGTCAGAGACAAATTCTAAAGAATGGCTTCCTCTAAAATTACTTTTTGTGGTCTCCTTTTCCAAAATTAGTGGTAAAGAGAACCTGGTTGAAGAGGAGGGAAGGACTTTGTGGCCAGGTAGATCCAGAAAGTTTTGTTTTCCAAGATCAGTAAAAGTAGAGTTATTTTTGGTCTGTTTTTTTTTTGTTGTTGTGTTTGCCTAAACTCAGTCCAGCTTGTCTCTGGATAAATCCAAATGAGTGTGGCTCAGACTTTATCCTGAATCCCGGGTTGGTTGAGGTTGGAAGGGACCTGTGGAGGTCATCTGGTCCAACCTCCTGCTCAGACAGGGTCACCCAGAGCCGGTTGCCCAGGAATATGTCTGAACAGCTTTTGAGTACCTCCGTGGACAGAGACTCTACAACCGCTCGGGCCAGCCTGTCCCAGTGCTTGGTCACCCTCATGGTTAAAAAAAAGTCTTTACAGATTATTTTATGATTGGGTACACTGTCCTGTAAATCTGCAAGAAGGCTGCCAATACAAAGGTTTCTTTCAGCTCTTTTGACAGGAAAACTAGTAATTCTCATTCTCGTTTCCTGAAAAATATTTTGCATGAATGTAGTTAGAGTTGAAAGATGCTGCAATGCACTTCTAGTGTTCCTTCTTCCCTCCCTCCCTGTGTGTTAAATTTTCAAATTACTAACCTTCTGAAGTTGCTTCTAAGCAAGGAAGCAATGTCATTCTGATGCAGAAAAGTTGTGTCAATGGCTTTAGTACTGACAGTTCTCTTCTGCATCTCTCTGCTTCGTTGAGTTCATCTCGGTCATAGCACCAAATAACTCACTAGGAGATTGATCCAGCTTCATGCCAGTCTTGTTACCACATCTAAATCTACATACTTAATTGGGATTGCCGAAATGAATTGCTTGTGTTCTGAAGCCTGAGCTAACTAGCAAAATTTGCTGTCCATTCAGTTTTTCTGCCTTGTGCACCAGTCTGAGCGTTGTCCTACCTAATCGTGAGGGATGAGCTGCCTTCCAAGGCAGAGCTGTCAACATAACTGGAGTGGGCAATCTACTCTGGACTGGTGTGCCAGGAGCATGTATATTCTAGCCTCTGGTCAAGAAGCAGAGCTATATCCAGCTCCAGTGTTTCTTTCCAGCAGAACAAAACTTGGCAGTCACTGAAATAAGCAGGCTATGAGGCAAAGGGAAGCGCAGTGTCAGATAGTGGTAGAAGAATTGAGCTGAGAACAATCAGAAACAGCAGAGCTGGAGTAAACACAGCCTCAAGCAACGCCGTTTGTCTTTTTGCACAAAGAAGCTACTGGCAAACAAGGATGTTTATGACGGGGTGAAACAGTGGGCTTGGTGGAGGTCGTCAGAGCATAGAACCGTAGAATCATAGAATGGTTTGGGTTGGAAGGGACCTTAAAGATCATCTGGTTCCAACCCCCCTGCCCTGAGCAGGGACATCTTCCACCAGCCCAGGCTGCTCAGAGCTCCATCCAACCTGGCCTTGGGCACTGCCGGGGAGGGGGCAGCCACAGCTTCTCTGGGCAACCTGGGCCAGTGTTTCACCACCCTCATGGTGAAGAGTTTCTTCCTAACATCTAATCTAAATCTGCCCTCTTTTAATTTAGAGCCATTCCCCCTTGTCCTATCACTGCACCCCCTTTCGAAAAGTCCCTCTCCATCCTTCCTGTAGGCCCCTTCAGGTACTGGAAGGCTGCTGTAAGGGCGTGGGCAGAGCTGCTGGTTTGTACTGGTGCATGTTGTGTCTGTCCTGCAGCCCCCAAGGGGGAAACAATGGCAAAAATTTTGCCAATAGATGAAGGTGGGATTTGATGTTAGCTGCTACTATTTAGACAGAAGAGGCAAGATACTAGTGATTAAGTGATTTCGAATTTCTGCCAGTATGGATTTTGTTAAAAACAAATAATGCTGTCCAGTTAGATGAGGTTTAAAGAAATGAATAAGCACTGAAACAACCTAAAGGTACTTCAAACAACAAGCTGATGAGCTGGTCGGTAGCCAAGAGTTAACTTAGGGCAAATGACAGGGGATGCTAACAAAAATGCAATAGCATTGTTAAGATTTGGTAATGAGTAATAGGTGTTGCAAATTAACAAATGCAGATCACCTGCATTGACACAGGAATTCAGCTGAATATGCTCTAATGATGGGGGAAGGAGGTGGTAGAAGGTCTCAGCTGCAGGTGTTCAACTTGTGGTATTTGATTTTAAAGCTTGCTAATGAGCAAGTTGGAGATGAACTTTTTTCCCTGAGATGGCAGGAAACACTTCCTGTGTAGTATTCCCTTTATGTCTTAAAAGACTGTGGAGTAATGGCAGCCAGGTTGGTCATAACCGAGAGACAACGTAGAAGCTGCCTGCAAGATCAGTGAGGATGCTGTGAGGTGGCTTGTCTGTGGAATAAATCCCTGCTACACAGGCATAGCACAGAGGTGCATGTTGTCCCAAGGCTGTAGCCTTGTGGAGTTAGGCCACCGTAACTGGGAGGAAATGGGGAAGAGTGAGGCCATGGCACTGTGTGGATTGTGGGCTGCTCTGGGGGCAGGGAAGCTGGGAATCATCCTCTAGGTGACTTTAAAAAGCTTCGTAAAAAGGGGTGTTAAGAATACCACCCATGAAATGCATGGCTTCTGTGTCAATGACTTGTGCCTAGATTCTTTGCTTATCTCTTAGTTTCTACTTTTCATTTGCAACTAGGGTTAACGACTTTCTAGGTTTCTAGGTTACTGATTAAGAAGGAACATTCTTAGCAGTTTTGTTAAAACTGTGGGCGACTTAACCACTAGAAGTACTGCTGTAGCACTAGACCCAGATCTTGTTCTGTAATGACTGTTTGCTACTAAGCTGTGTTTTGGATTTTTTTTTTATTCCAGATTGTGAATAGGCACGGTCCCGAGGCAGACAGGCATTTACTACGCTGTCTATTCTCGCACGTGGATTTCAGTGGCGATGGTAAAAGTAGTGGCAAAGATTTCCATCAGGTAAAGTTTGCACCGAGGCATCTGCTTATTTGTTTTGGTTGTTACAAATCTGCAGTAGGATCTGATCCATTTTAAGCACAAAGGCAGGTTAGAGGTAGTAGCTTCAAGCAAACTTCTTTTCTGGTATATGGCCAAGCGCCTTGCGCCAGTCCTCAAGTCAAAAGACAACAAATTGTTGGTATCTGACTCTTACAATACCTTGATCTGGAAAAATGGATAGATTCAGTACAGTTGTTCTTTCGGCCACATGCAGTGCTCTGTTTCAAAAGCCTTTGTGTTTCAAGATTATGTCCAAATCCACTAACTGGCACTTGTGGTGCTGGCTCCCTGTGTTCTCAGAAACGTTTTCATCCTTAAGCAAGGCATCCTTTGCCACAGACTTTTAAGCTCATAAACAGGAATCACATATTCTTAGATTGTCTGTTGCAGTGTGTGGAGGATGCTTAGAGAAAATGAAACATTGCGCACATGATGGGCAAGGTTTGATCACTTTCTCAGTCTTAAAGAAAAAACAAACTTTGAAGAAAACTTGAATGAAAAGAAACTGGTTAATGTTAAAGAGAATTTGGGCACTTACAAGACTTAAGCACCTTATCTTTGTTTAGGTTTACTGCACATAGTGAACAGTGGAAGTTTTGTTTTCTTGTCCTGTTGCAAAATATGAGCATTGAAGTTTTCTTCTTCTTTCCAGACTCAATTTCTGATCCAGGAGTGTGCGTCGCTGATTACGAAACCAAACTTTATCTCGACGCTGTCCTACGCCATTGACAATCCGTTGCACTATCAGAAGGTTTGTGTGCCTCTTGATGGGGATCCCCATGCCAGAAACTGCAGTGAAGGGGTCTGTAGGAAACCAGCTTGTTTTCCCGTGTTTTTCCTGGGGGGTTTTAATGGCTAAGATTGGTTGTACTAAAGTCTTCAAAAATTGAGCTTGGCTGGAAGTGGGAATTTTTTCTTTTTGTTAAACTGAGCAAGTTATTCAATGACTCTGACTGCAAATTAATTTTAAAGCTTAATCTAATGTTAGTACTTCATGGCTTGCGTGGGGCAGCCAGAACCAAAATAAATCATCAGTGCTCCTGTTTGTTTCAATATGAAAGCCATGGTGGGGGTTCAGTAGTGACAGGGTGGGATACGCGAAAGAAACTTTAGTCTAGATGTATCAAAAAATAGTTCCAAAGATGCTTTCTTCAACTGTATAAGCTTTGTGTTAGCCTACAGCAGAACAGTTAGTAATATTCCAGACCTGCAAATGGACTCTAGGTAACCTGCCACAGTACGAATGAGACTAATCGCATAACGGCTTCTGTTTAACTCTTCTTACCTGTTTCAGAGTCTAAAGCCTTCACCCCATTTATTTGCCCAATTGAGTAAAGTCATCAAATTAAGTAAAGTTCAAGAGGTAGGTGAACATTTATTTCAAAAATATTGTAATGTTTTTTGGCTAAGCTTGTTAGAAAGGAGGATGTCCCCTTACTATGCTGTTCTTGTTTGTAGGTGATTTTTGGCCTTGCCTTACTGAACTCTTTCAGCTCGGATCTACGAGGTTTTGGTAAGTGAAGCTTCCAAAGTACTGCAACAGGGACACCTTTTTTTCTTTTTAAGCAGTGGGCTTTCTAGGTGGCTAGATGTGTGCCTGTGTGACCTGAGTAATGAAAGATCTTGCAGTCTGTAGCCTTACTGAAGTCTAACACCATTTTGAGAGGGGCCATAGATAGTGCAGTCGTTTTGTCTTAGATGAAATTGGAGGTCCCTTCCATGAATTACTTCCCAGATAGTGAATGAAATTGAGATACTGTGATATCTTACCTTTTAGTTGTTCATTAATACTTGAGTTGAGCTGTGGATTATGAGACTTTGATTTAAGTATCTGAACTGTTATGGTTTGTGTAAAAACAAAAACAAACAAAAAAAAAAAATTAAGGGTATGGTACCTAAAGAGTCCTATGTAAAAAGAGTGTTCATATTAAAAAGAAATTTCAGGTTTTGACTCTAGCCTCTTTTGTTTTCAAAAGCTGCCCAGTTTATCAAACAGAAACTCCCGGATCTTTTGCGCTCTTACATTGACGCGGACGTCAGTGGAAATCAAGAAGGTGGCTTCCAAGATATTGCAATAGAGGTCCTGCACCTTCTCCTCTCCCATCTCCTTTTTGGGCAGAAGGGAGCCTTTGGGGTAGGACAGGAACAGATTGACGCTTTTCTCAAAACATTACGTAGAGGTAAGTGTGTTGGTGTTCAGGAAGCCTGACTAAATACAACTTTGAGATGAGTGTTTGTAACTTACTGTCGGTGTGTTCTGCTGCTGAAATGGTGAGGAGCTTGGTGAGGTAGAACTCAGTACATTTTCATAACTCTAAACTGACAAAAATATCACTGTTCTAGCATTTAGCTATAACATACTGTTTTTCTTTCAATGAGCAGTAAAGTGTTCTCATGTTGGGTTTTTTTAAAAGTTGTCATAAATAAGCGTAAAGAAGGGGATATTGAAGTTTCTTTGCTTGCTTGTGTGGTATGGTATTTGTGGGTTTAATTAAAGCAACTCAGTGCACTGTAGTTGAAAATCTTGAACTCCTTACAGTGTAAGGAACATTACCATTTCAGATGGATGGATTTTAGGCACTGGGTTGTTTATATTGGGTGCAGATCTATGAGGAAACACCAGCACAGTGAGGGAGGTGCCCTTGAATAAACCCTGTTGCATTTCCTGGAAGCTACCGTGGTCGTTGTGTGACGCAGGGGACGTTACCGATGTGGTAGTCTCTTCCTTTCCAAAATAAGTACTTGCTGTAAACCCATCAAAATAAGGAGGATTTGGACTCGAGAAGCTAACTGAATTTAATTCAGCCCCCTCCTTGGTTCTGCACAGACCTAGAGGAACCTTTATACAAGAGCAAAATATTTGTTCTGTTTAAGTGAAACTTCATAATTCATACTTTAATGAAGATTAGTGTATTAGCTTCTGTAACTCCTCTCTCTTTGCTTGGGGAAATTGGGAGCTCTTGTGTGAATGGCCGTGAAGGGTGTGGAGGTGTGATGCATCATCGTAAAGATAATGCCATCTCAGGACGACCAACCCATAAGGTGGTGTTGCTGCTTTCCACCGTGAGCGAAACTCCCATCCGTGCATCAGAACCTCTCATTACCTTGTCTCTCTTAGAAAGGAAGAAGGGAATATTCTCTTTTTCCATGCCCAAATGCCTGGTTTATGTTTGCCAGACTTCCTAGACTCAACAGCAGCTCCTTTGTTTCCTAATACTTCCTGATCTGGAGTAGAGGCTTTTGCTGTACTGTGGTATTGTTTCCTGCTCTCTGCTTGTTTTGGATGACTGCTGTTAGTGACAGTCTAGTTGGTAACTTACCACCAGCACAGCTACTAGCCCTTCTGGGCAGCAGCAGTAAAACTGGCTGAACCCTGGTCTATTCTACATTCATGTTCTCTAGGAATATCCAAGTGGCAGTAGAGAACTGGGAGGTGGGATGGAAGAATGCTGTGCTGGTGCTGTCCCGATTTCTGCAGCAGCAGGGAAACTCTAGCACAGCAGCCAAGTTACTTTGAATGGTCACTTGCATGCGGCTGGTGGTGTGGGGGTTTTGACGCTTTTTTCCTTTGTTACTCTTGCCTTTAGATTTTCCCCAGGAACGTTGCCCTGTGGTGCTTGCACCACTTCTATACCCTGAAAAACGGGACATTCTAATGGACAGGATCCTGCCTGATTCTGGAGGGATAGCCAAAACCATGATGGAGAGTTCTCTGGCAGATTTCATGCAAGAAGTTGGCTATGGCTTTTGTACAAGGTTTGTAGGAAAATGTAATTTTCAAGCATCTTGGGTGGTGGTGGTGGTTTTCTGTTTCTTGAGGCAAAAGGTAAAGAACTCTTCAAGTACTAAAATACCTAGAACTTCATTAAGTATTACGAGGTCATTTGTTTTGACTCCTGGTTTATATTTTGCTTTCTTCTAATGAGTGTAGAATATCTGTTGAAATTGTGTAGGATTTTCTTGTAGTAAGTGCTAGCTAAAGTTATTTGGATTCTGTGTGAAGGTTTTATAAGAGTTTGACCTTGATCATCCTTTTGCAAAAATAAAAACAAAAGGTGGCGAGGTAAGCATGAAACCGTCCACATAGAATACAGAACTGGAGATAATAATCTCACTTCAAGAAAGTTGACCAGCAGTAGCTTTCTGTTGGTATTGGGTTTTGATCAGTGTGGTACACAGTATGATTGAGATTATATGTAGCTGTAGAATCTAATTATGATAGTGAATTGCTGGCAATAAAACAGAGTATCTTGACAGCTGCTTTGAAGTCTTTGTGCCTGGTTAGGCTTATTTTGGTAAACATACAGCTGTCTTTGCACAAACCCAGAGCGAGTTTATATTCACAGACATACATTACCCACATCTTCAATAACGGTCCCTATTCTTGCCTCTGCCTTTTGTCTGAAGTGTTAGATGGGCAGCTCTGTTAACTTGGCATGCTGGAGCTGTGTGAGACAGGCTGTTGTCTGTAGAGCTGTATGCGTTTGCAGGAGCGGTGTGAGCAGGGCTTTGCTTTGCTTATGGCACCGAGAGCAAGTATTGCATTACATGGGCTGTTTGTGTATATACATGTGTGGATTGGAGTATTCACCAACAAAGTGGAAGGAGAAGCTAGATTTTAGTCAGAAGCTGTGTATTGAAGATTTAATTTGAATATATTAAGGGTTTATTTCCTGCTGTATATCTGCTGTTTCCACAAATCCAGCTCAATTTTTGAATGCGGTTTCTAAGGATTAAGGGTAGTGCTCTAGTACTGGTAGCGGTAATGGGAGCCTGCAAGTGTGTGGCAGGTTTTGCAGGGGGACTTAGTCTGGTTCATACAACCTAATGCTTCTTTAAGGGAAGATTCACTTAAGCACAAGCTGAGAAAAGTAAATGAGTCTGTATCTTAAAGGAAAGACTGACTGTTTTGAGGAGGTGATCAAATCTCCAAGATATTAACCTAAGTTTCTGTTTAAATGGTGAAGTATGGAAACACACAATATAAATCTGATGGAAGACAGTGAAAGTTATTTCCTGTGTTGACACATGCCTGTTAATAGAACAGTTTTGTTATCTGTACTGATGCTGTATAAATCTTAACTTGTTGGCCTAATCATGAAGTGTTCAAAAAGCGAAATCAAAATTGCAAAAAAGGCTTTTGGTTCTAAAACTAGAACTTAAGCCCCTGCTCATTGTTTGCTCTTTTGGCTTCTTGAAGGTCTCTGCTAGTGACCTCTGAGAGATGCCATGGCTTGCATCAGGCTAAAAGGCATCCTTTCTCAGCTTGCCTTCCGAACAGCGCACATCAGTTTGAAATACTCATTCTCAGAGCCTTTGTTTCGCTTTTAGCTGGCAGGCGACTTCAGTCTTTGAAGCTCTGTATCACAGGTCAATACATGGAAGAGCTTTTAATAGCAAACGGTTCCAAACCTACCCTCTGCTTTTGCTTTGCCAGAGCATAGCCTGTGAAACATCGTGTACTTAAGTAGACCTAGCTTTGAATTGAATACATGGCACAATATGTTTCATGGAAATAGTTGCATGGACTGAATCTACAGAATTTCTCTTCTTCCTTGTCCTAGAATTTTGGATCCTTTGACTAACACAACTGAAGTTGAGTAAATGGTCATATTTTACAGTCTGCAGTTAGTTTCTCCCAGCAGTCTGTGCCAGCTGTACTCGCATGTCTTGTTTTGATCGATCGGCATTACGTTGTGCCACAGTGAAACCTGCTTTGGTATTAAGATCTCTCTGTTTTGTTGCATCTTAGTGTTGAAGAATGTCGCAACATAATCATGCAGTTTGGTGTTCGGGAAGTCACGGCTGCCCAGGTTGCCAGGGTTTTGGGGATGATGGCTCGAACTCATTCTGGATTGACAGATGGCATTCCATTACAAGTGAGTAGCCTGCTGGGGTGGGGGTTATATATATATATTAATCAACAGAAAATGAGGAGTTAAAATACTAGCCTCGAGTAATTTAAGAGTTGCTTTTACTATTCCACACTTCTAACTGTTCTGCTGTAAATGTGTATAGTATATTCTTGAATAAAACATTCTTGAAAGTGTGCAACTGGTGTCATAACTGGTCTGAACTTCTGCTTATCTTCCTATTGCAGGGATTTCTGTAGCTAGTGGCTTCTGAGACTGCTTTGTTTTTGACTAGTGCTTGACTGAGTGTGTTTAACTTGCAGTCTATTTCGGCTCCTGGCAGTGGGATTTGGAGTGATGGGAAGGATAAAAGTGATGGAGCACAAGCGCACACCTGGAATGTGGAGGTCTTAATTGATGTTCTGAAAGAGCTGGTAAGTTTTGCATATCTGAAAGAAGGGCAGGTGTGAATACAAAGCTCCTAGGGGCCTGAATGGCTTTGAATCTTACTGATGTAATTGTACTGCTTGAATGATTGGTGTTTTTCTCCTCATGAAAAAGAGCATTTTCAGGAATTGTGGGAAATAGTATGAAATTATGCCTGAACTTGGCGAACTTGGGTCCACCTTGAGATTTACTCCACACTGTTCCCACATAGCGCAGCGTGTGTTCTCCGAGGGCTTTTGTGTTTTAACTTATTTCTGACAGTGGAAAGTTTTGTTTTGAATAGCTTCTCACTGTAGGAATTAATGATGAAAATGAAACAAAATATTTTTGTAGCTACTCATTCCAAAACTCTTAAATGCTTCTTGTATATGATGACGCTTCAGAAATAGGAAAGTTTTTCCACCACTTCATAGCAGCAATTTTTGTAATTGAGTGAAACATGAGTACCATTTCCTTTGGCTACCTTATACTAGGTGGTTTTTTTTTTAATTTTTTTTTTTCCTGTATGTTCCCTGTAACCTATGCAGGAGTCACTGTTTTGTTTCACTAAACCTTGGGACATACAACTAGCTTTGTCTTTGGTGCTCACCTATCTGAAATGGGTGGTCTGCGTTACACAATGGCTATATCTCCCTCCACGCTCCCACTTCTCTGCGGTTTCACACTATTGCTAAAAATCTGCTAGGTGCTTTGGAAGTACTTGCAGTGTCCATTCTTTGAAAGGAAAAGCACCCTTCTGCTTGCCAGTGGGTCAGACCACTCTGCCTTTTATTGGAGGGCATATGGAAGCCTACAAAAGGGAAGAGTTAGCATGCTAAGAAAGGCACTGTGTGATTTGGTGGCGGGAGAGGAATGTTTTGATGAGTTGTTAATGAAAAGTTTGGAAGGATAGACAGATAATGCCTGTAGTGCTGGGGGAAGTGCCATCTTGTAGTCTAGTTCTCACAACTGTCTAAATCCTGTTGTTTTTTAAAACAAAACCCTTGCTTTCAACTGAAAGTCAGGTGGATGTTAAGCTGAATACAATACAGATAAGAGAGGTTCTTACAGGGCAGGACTGAAGACTGTAATGTTCAAGGCTGGCTACTCTCTTATTTTTTGGTTGCAGAATCCTAGCCTGGACTTCAAAGTGGTAACCTATGAATTGGACCATCCGGGATTTCAGATTCGTGACAGCAAGGGCCTGCATATTGTAGTGTTTGGCATCCAGAGAGGGCTAGGCATGGAGGTTTTCCCAGTTAATGCCATATACAGACCTTGGAAGCACGCAGAGGGCCAGGTAGGTTTACTGCCATTTCTGCAGTATCTGTACAACACTTATGAAGTTCCTGGATTTCTTAAATGGCACGTGAGGACTGGTAATGTGAATTTTTAGACAGGCCACATTTGAGAACTTGGCCTGTAAGGCATAGGCCTCCAGTATGTTACTGAATTACAGCCTATTAATTGAACAATGTCTGCACTGTTTGGGAAGAGATGGCCACTTGCTGTGCATGTGTGACAACACCTTTGGTTTTAGCATAGTTCTGATGTGTAATGCAGCTGAGTGTAGAACTGTTGCTGCATGACTGTGCTCTGAGGTTTTTCCCTGGCTACACAAAAAGGCTACAGCTTTGTGCAAACAAGTACCCTTTGCACACCTGGGAGGAGAAGTGTGAGGTTCAGCCTTATGTGAAACACATTGGTAGTAAATCTTGGCTCGTCTCTACTGCTGTGTTGATTTGCATTGTTCTCATGTATGTGGCACTTGATAGAGTGAAAGGAAACTGAAACTCTAAATATCTAAACTTATTTTTAATGTCTTTTATTCCAGCTCTCCTTCATTCAACATTCCCTCATAAACCCTGACATCTTCTGTTTTGCTGACTACCCTTGTCATACTGTTGCCACAGATATCCTGAAAGCACCACCAGAGGATGACAATCGAGAAATTGCTACTTGGTAAACCTCCTGTCACTGCTTTTCATAGCTAGAGTTAGAGCAAGATTACTTGTCTGGTCAAATACGGCTTTGTCTTCATGCAACCAGATTTACTTGTAGCTGTGCGTACATGCCAATAGATCGGCCATTAGTATTTGTTCCATGTTTGATTGGTGGAAGTTCTCATATTATCAGAACTTCCTATGTAGTTCTGTAATATCTGAAAATATACTGCCAGTTCCTTTATTGGAGTCTTCTGGCTGTCTGGAGAATTTCTGCTGCTGTATTTTTGCTGATACTGTGAGCTGAGAGGAGGGGATAGAGGAGGTATGAATTTAAATCTGTCCTTCCCAGGTTGACACTGGAGAAACTTGCTCTACTTGTATGAAAAGTCCGGAGATTTAAATACTAAAGTCATGCAGTGCTCAGTTATTGCATGAAGCTGACTAGTGTGACTTTCTGAGCTGACCTTTACACCTCTTCTCTTGTCAGCTGTGTAGCTGATGTCAGCGAAGATATTTACTTCTATTTCCACTGTATGGCCCAAAATTGGGAATTGGAGGATGGGGAATTGGGTAAGGTGGCAATTATTACTTGTCTGTAAAGCAGACAAAACAAGTGGAATATCTTCACAAAGTTTCACAGGTGGAGGACTCCGAAGCATAGAAAAATAGCGCTGTTTCTGCAAGTGTGTTTGAAGTTAAATTATCCAAGTGATCCACCTCAGGCTGAATTTTTTTCAGCATCAGCTTTTGATTCTTCCTCTTCCTTAACAGAATAAGAAGCTCTTATGCTCTCACTTTGTGTAAAGAAAAAAAAAAAGCTAAAGGAGTTATTTCACATGGTTAAGAATGCTCTCGTAGGCTTGGTTGTATGTGAATAGAGCTGCAATATCAGGTTGTTTGCAGTGGACATTATATTGTGTTACAGCTGTTGGTACAAAATGCTTGAATCCAGGATCTTGTAAACTAACTACTTTGTAACCTTTGTGGGGGGCTTGTCTATTTGTTTTTTTTTTTCATTTGTTAGGAAGAGCCTGGATTTGATTGAATCTCTGTTACGATTGGCAGAAGTGGGACAGTATGAGCAGGTTAAGCAGCTCTTCAGTTTTCCCATCAAGCATTGCCCAGATATGTTGGTATTGGCCTTACTGCAGATCAACACATCCTGGCATACCTTGCGCCATGAACTCATCTCCACACTCATGCCAATTTTCCTGGGCAACCATCCCAACTCTGCCATCATCTTGCACTATGCATGGCATGGACAGGTAAGTATTTTCACTGGAGCGTGCCTGTAGTTTGTTTGTGTAACTGAAAGCTTGTGGAACGGGTTGAACAGTTAGAATAACAGTGCTTGTTCTGGTTTATGAACTGGGTAATGTAAAACTCAGGAGGTAAATTATCAATGGTTTATGCGAAGTAAGACTAGTTGTCTCTTTCCTGTCGTGAAGCAGACTGTGGCAGTTTGATTTTCTTTGGGGAAATACATTCCGAACAAAGAAGTAATATTCACTGAGAAAATATTCATGGAAAAGTAGAGACACCAAAGTGAAGTTTGACTTTTTTTAACCTTTCAGTTTTAACCAACTTTCAAAATAAAAGAAAACCAAAAACCTCACAACAGCACACACACACACACCCCCGCCCAAATCTCCACCCCACACATTTAAACTGTAGAAACGTGAAGCAGTAAGAGGTGAGGCGGTTTAAACCAAACTAATCTACATTGTATTGGCTAAAAGATGGAGACTATTCTAGGTATAAAGAAACTACTTATTGATTTTAAGAGTCTGGGGTGTTTTCTGAAAATTTACAACTGGCTGCTGACCTTTTTCAAGGAGAACTTCCATGTAAAGACAGGGCATCTATGTATGCAAATCCCATGCTTCTACTGGGAAGACAAGAAAGCCTTTTGGTATGGCCTTCATTGTTGCATGTGCTGGTAGTTAAGCAAATAGGAGTCATAGGAAGAAACTTTAAGGCAGAGGAAGCCTCTGGGGTGGGAGGGAATCTGCATTAGGAAACATCTTGCTCTGCTCATGTAAAGTAGAGTTAATGTTAAGAAGCTTGAACTCTGAGGTCTTGGTCCACACTCACTGCAAAATTATGACTATTTGCTAGCTGAAGTGCTATGAAAGTTTTATATTTTTCCTGATAAAAGTCTTTAAATTGAACAATTGGGGGGGTAGGATAGAAGTGGTGTGCTTTTTGCATGAGACCTTGAAATGGTAGAATATGCAACATCTCTGCAAAGTAGGCTTCAGAATAAAGTACAACATGATGGCTGCCATGTGGCGTGGTGCCATTCCACAACTTGAGGACATTTCGCTTCCCCAGGTGAGGCAACCTTTAAGCAAAACCCTTGCTGCCATCAAAGTCTTAGTTGTGTTGTAGTTTAAAATTGCACCTGTGTGAGCAAAGAGCTAAATACTGTGTTTTCCATGTTAAGGTGCGACATGGCATTCTCACTTCAGGACATTAGGTCAGGCATAACATTTTGTAAATGATTTGCATATTCCAAAAGCAATTTCTCTACAATTGAGAGGTGTTAGACCTGTACAGTGGTGGGAAAGAGATGGGGATATATGTACTTAGCATTCGTAGTCATTCAGCATCCTTGAGTTGTAGCTCCTGGGTAGTGTATTATTGCACAAAAAGAGCCCAGCTCAGAAGCTAAGGAGTAAATGAGTTTGCGTGTTAAGCTTTAGGGGTAAAATATCCTACATAATGTTCACATAATTGATCGTTTTTTTAGCGGTGTGAAGTACAATCCTAATCTAATTCTCCTTAGGGTCAGTCTCCTTCGATTCGTCAGCTTATCATGCATGCAATGGCAGAATGGTACATGAGAGGGGAACAGTATGACCAGGCAAAATTGTCACGTATTCTTGATGTGGCGCAAGACTTAAAGGTGAGTTTTACAAAACACTGTCATTATTTTCCATGTGGTGTCTTATGCAGACTTGCTCATCTTTTAACAAAAGCTAAGGTTGACTTAAATGTGACTAATTTAGTAAGGATTACTTTCTTTAAGCGTGTCTGAATTCAGTTGTTGCGGCTCTACCTCATTTAAAAAAACAAAATAAAAAACGCAACCAAAACCGAGCCTATGTTTGTGTGACTTTAAGTGCTCTTCAGCTGAGTTGTGGTATCTCACTACAGATGCTTTCTAGCCTATCCAGTTGTGTACCCAAGACATTTTACTTGGTGTTTGCAGCAGAGTTGGTTGTCGTTGCTTAGCTGACAAGTAACTTGGGAAGCAGTGTAATAGAGCTGCTTGCTGTGTGACTGTACTGTAAATCCAGGAAGAGCTTTGACTGTTTTAACCTTGAATACCACTACAATGGCAATGTAGAAAATATCCTTCAGTTGTTTGTGTGAAGGCGATACTGCCGAGCGTCACGGAGTGGGAATTGCTTAAGCATACTACTACTTTTCAGTTGTTTACACATGCACAAAACAGACTGGAAGTTGTGACTGACTTCCTTGAGCCTTTATTGCTTCCTAAAGTTAGATGCAAAATAATTGGGTGTCTCAAAATGCAAGAGCACCAGCTGCTGCTTGAAGTCGGCTTTGTGGCAGCAGTTACTGTGTTCAAAGATGAGCACTTTGAGCAGCTGTATTTAGAGTGGCTCTGAAGGGGTTGAGGTCTGTTTGCAAGGAGATGCTAGGCTCTGCTGATTGATTTTGTTGCAGTAGGAACTTGATAGATCTCGGTCACTTGGTGGTGGGTTTTCATATAGAGGAATTCAAAACTGTCAGCACAAGGTCACTTCAGAGAAGGTAGGGTCGTGATTTCAAATGAGAGGTCTTGCTTATTTGTCTCACAAGCGAGCTATAAGTGAGTGAAGCGGATAGTACCAATCTTTTTGTTGACGAAGAAAGCATAGCAGCATGTGATAGCAAGACTTCTTTACTAAAAAGTGTATGAGGATTAGAAAGAAAAGAAAGGAGAAAGGGTATCCTTGTGTCTTCACTAGCAGTCTTCTGATTTTTTTTTTTTTTCTTTAGGCCTTGTCAATGCTGCTAAATGGTACTCCATTTGCCTTTGTTATTGACCTTGCTGCACTTGCCTCTCGACGGGAATACCTCAAACTTGACAAATGGCTCACAGATAAAATTCGGGAGCATGGGGTAAAGCAGGATTTTTCTTTTTATTTCTGCACTCTGTCAGTGACTAACTTAAGTCACTTTAACAATTTGAAGAGTAGCTTTAAAGCTGTGGAAAGTGTCCATGGTCTGATAGTTCAACGCTTTCACTGAACTATAATAGCTTAGTGCAATTCTTTCCACAGTGCAATTGCCAAGTTTGAAATAGTGGCTTGGATGGAGTTTGGGAGATTAAGATAAAATTTTTTTTTCCTCAGGAGCCCTTCATCCAGGCCTGTATGACTTTCTTGAAGAGAAGATGTCCATCTATCCTGGGTGGCCTTGCTCCAGAAAAAGATCAGCCCAAAAGTGCTCAACTGCCTCCAGAAACCTTGGCGACTATGCTGGCATGTCTGCAAGCTTGTGCTGGGTAAGGATTATATTGCTTACATGGAGTGTGTAGTCTGTTTGCAGCTTGTTTGTTGGTGTATGACACAGCTAGTTTGGAATTTCACATGGAAAATGGGGTTAATGCGAGTATATAGGCTTGCAGGGATAGATTCAGTAGTATATTTAATTTTGCACTGAAACCTGTTGTAGACTAGGTTGTTCATGATTAGATACAGGACTGTGTTTTGGACAAAACGGAATACAGGCCATACTGCAGAATGGGACAGCATCTTGAAAAACAGTGACTGTGTGAAGGATTTTGTGATTGCATTAAGCAAATTACTACCCTAGCAGAAAGGACTAATGCAGTCCTTACAAGAGGAGGAAAGTGGTAACTGGGGATTGTAATGGAGACTGAGACTAGACATCTGTATCTTCTGTTGTCTTCATTTGAGACAGTCTCAAAGTAGTCAAAGGATGGAAAATACCTGATCTTTTGCAGATCAGATTGTTTAGTTAAAGTCCAGAAGAAAAAAGTGTAGGTCTTAGAGAGCTGTTTTATCTGCTAAAGGGAGGAGTAGACTACAGAAAGGCTAGAGGAAACAGAAACTGGGCAAATCGGTTTTTAAACATTATGTTCACATTTAGTAAAAGTGACTGAATGATGTGAAATATTTGTGGTGTCACTTCATGCTGTCGGATCAGGATGCTATTTAAGTGCAGCAATATTTCAAAGATAACTAGGCATAGCATAGTGCGACACATGAGCCAGAGAGGCTGAAAGCTGGAGGTGGTACTAATTTTGGCGTTAAATTTGGACACCAAAAGAGGCTGGCATGTCAGAGTGCATGCTGCCTGATTTAAGGCTTGGATTGTTAGCCAGTGTTGTCTTGAAAGATACAAGAAACATCTTTAAAGGTACTCAGGATGATTCATGGCTCTCATGTAGGTGCTAGGAAGTGAATATCAACATAGAATTGTCACGATGAATATATGAACTGAAAGGGAATTCGAGGTACCTGTAAAATTTTAGGAGAGGGGATTCTACTGGGACTGCAATTTAACTTCGAAGTGCTGTTGAAATATTGTTTCTGAAATATGATGGTCTAGCACACCTCTTGGACTGAGAATTTGGCTGTTATTTTTCAACTGAGAGTGCATCCTCTGAGACTATAGTTCACACATTAACTTACATTATTTCGCGTGCTACCATGTTCAGATTTTAGAGTTTTAATAGTTAACTGTAGACTTGACCTAGTGTCACTGTGTTCTGAATCTTAATGAGTTACTAAGTTTTATTTATTCAATTATTTCCAAAAGCCAGTAGTTCTCTACTGGCACAATTCTCTCAGTTCTTGGTGTCTTTTTATAGCTACTTGTATTCCCTTTCATGCAAGAATGTGACCTACTTGCAGTCATTTTCCATTAGTTATTCTCTTTGAGCTTGGATTTCTTTCATGAAGCGGTTGCTTTGATTAGCCTAGGTTCCAGTCACAAATGGAAGCAGACGTTGTAAAGACTAGAAGATTAAAATCGCAGTAAACATTAAATACGTCTGGGAGGGTAGTTCCACTTCACTAGCTGAAGTCCGCCATCTCGTAAATATGTTGATTTAGGAGCCTGCTCTTTATTTAGGCTGTGGTTATTTCTTGTCCTGTTTTGTGTCCCGGTAGGCCTTTTTCTTAGCCACTGGGACCCTACGTGTTCCAAAGCTCTTTATTTTTGGTGCAGCTTGTTTGTCACTGGTGAGCACTGCAGTTGTGGCATCATGTAGCAGCGAAGCTTCAAAGAGAAATAAGTGTTCCTTTTGTTACCAAGTGCTTTTAAAATGAAGTCAGGGTGGTTGCAGGCACCGCAGGCTGACCAAGCCTGTGGTTTGGTAACAAACTGGTTATGAGGAGTGGTCCCCGCAAGGAGCCGTGGAGAGGGGCAGCAGTGCCTCCTCCATACAGTCGTGTCTGGCACAGCCCAAGTGTGTCTGCTTGGGGAATTGATCACTCCTTCTCAGTCCCTGCCTCAAGAAGGGAAGAGGCTGCTGGCTACCTGGGCCTAGGGGAATGAAAAGGCCTTTCCTTTGTAACAATCGGTTAAGGTATGCAAGAAATGTGAACCTGTTATTCCAGCAAGCTGGAGAGCTTCCCTTCAGCTGACAGTTTTGTTACTCTACAGCTGGCTTATTGTGGTCCCTGGCTTTCTTCCTTACTCGTGTTTCAAAGTTCTCCTTCCTGCAGTTTTCCCCTAGTTCTCTTCCGTAGTGGCTCTGATTAGGTTAGATGCCTGAATATATTTTTACATAGGATGTGAAAGAGTGAACATTATCATTAAGATCTACTTATCAAAGCACGCCCACATACTTAGTTCTTCATATCATTTGCCTCAAATGCAGGGTTTTTTTTGCGTAAATCTGCAGTTTTGTATTATCTAAAAGTATTGTGATGTTTGCATCTTGATACTGCAGTATGTCTTTTGACATGAGAAGTTAACCCTCAGTCTGTCTAGATGGCAGGACACAACATTAGTGGCTCGCTCTAAAGCACAAATGTCCTAACCGGTTGCCAGAAGCATCAAACTCTAGGACTGTAAGCCTGTCTTAGGTAACACAGCAGCCCACACTGAAGACTATCTACAGCAGTTTGAAGTTTGTTTTACTGAAGCAGGCTAGAGTGTTGAAGAATAAAGACTTCAAATCTAACTGCTACAAAAAAAAAGGGGATGGCAAAAGATTGAGGCTGGAAATCTTGTGTAAACTCAGCTCTTTGGTCCCTGTGACCGTTCCCTGGTTAGCTGGAGTGCAGTGTGGTCTTGGAGCGCCTCCTGCATCAGCAAAACTTGTTAATTGGTCATACACTCATTTCAATGTTGAGACTTCTGAGACTCTGGCATTGGGGTGTAGGCAAATACATATTGTAGGTACTGAGCCTATCATGTGCCTTGCTCAGAGCTCTGTCTTCAGGTCTGGTTGTACTTTCTCAAAACAGAAATGCCTTTGGGGGTTTTTTGAGGGTAGGTTTCTGATTGCTTTTCGGTACACACTCTCCAAGCCCCTTGGCTTTTTGCAGTCTTTGATACTAGGCCCTGGTGAGAGGATGTTAAACCGTGTGAAGGACTCAGCTTGTGAAACAGTTGATAAAATGTTTATTGCCTTGTATGGAAACCTGCTCACCCATGGTATCTCCCCAGCTTCCCATGTCTGTCTTCTGCGAGCTTTTACCTGAACTAGGTAGTGGATCACTGGCTTTGGAGAACAACTGGAGGCACTTAACTCTGTGTAGCCTGTAATGGGATACTTGCCAAAGCTCAAGGCTGATTTGCACCTTGTTTTCCTGCCTTAATCATCGGCATGGTTGCTCTTGCTTTTTCCCCTCATCTAAAGAGCTGTACAGTAAAAGCTTGTGAATATTGAGTTAAAACAATGAGTCTGCAGACAAGCTTAACAAAGCTGTGTTGGTATAGATGCGCCATTACAGGAAGGAATCTACTGCTTTAGCTGTCCTCACCAAAAAGGTAGAACTGGAGTTCAGGAAAGCTGTAAATAATTGGCTGTATTCTCCAAAAGGAAAACGTTAGTGTTGTGTTAGTATGTTTGTGGTTAGGTACGTCGTCAGCAGAGCTGCCTTGCCTTCTGGTGTGGGAGCCTGGCAGTCAGACATGGAATACTTTGGAAAGAGGTACTGACTGCTCTCGGTTTTTGCAATGACTTCATGACGAAGTTTGAGTTTTCTTTTGGCTTTTGATTATAGTGTCCTTGAATAGTTAGGTTTCCTGTCTCTATTTTGGTTTAATGTTAGTGCATGAAGCATGTCTTTCAGTTTAGACAGATGAATTTTAGTGAAGCAGGTGGTGGTATTTACCTCTCATCCTTTTTTGTCTTGGAGTGTGTAGCCCAAGCTTTAGTCACATTGTATCTCCTCTTTCGGAGAGACCTTGTGTGTAACGAGATCAATCACAAATGGTGAAGTCGGGGGCCAGGAAGGAGCCTTAAGGAGTATGTTTGAACACGGGATCATAGCATCAGTTATTTTGCTCTTCCAAGCACTGTTGGAGCCATGTAGGTACATTTCCTAGCTTTCTGTAAGTCATTACTTGCTGGGGTAACTGTAAAGTGGTATTCGAATTATTGAAAATGAGGGAATATTCTATTGGAGATTAATTTTCAGAACTGCAGTTTAAAATTTTCTATTTAAATATAACTGTTTTTCTTGAGACATGTTCTAATGCAAATTTTGCAAATCACAAAATGTAGCTTTTGCTGGGGTGGTTTTGCCACTTCTGTTTGTGAAATGTGGCCCAAATTTCTTTAGGAAAACCAAAGAAGCTGGGGGCTTTAGTTTCATGAATGTTACAAGGCTCACTATCCTCCTTTGTTATTCTAGGAGTGTTTCTCAGGAGCTGTCGGAGACCATCCTCACCATGGTAGCTAACTGCAGTAATGTCATGAACAAGGCGAGACAGCCACCCCCTGGAGTCATGCCGAAAGGCCGCCCGCCCAGCGCCAGCAGCTTGGATGCCATCTCTCCTGTACAGGTAGACAAATGACGTGCTGTATTTTTAGGTGGTGGTGTTGATTTAGCATTAGTTCTGCGCTATTTGAGGTCTTGGAGCAAGACTAAGTAAAACATTATCAGGCTCCCTTAGTTTTATGCTTGCATGTCTAGATAACTTGCTTGTACTTACAGAATAGTGCCTGAGGGTTGTAGTTGAGAACTGTCTTTTACTTGACAAATATCTATGAGAGGTAACTGAAGTACAGCAGGATGGGAGCACTGAAGAGGGATAGAGGTTTGGTTTATTTAAAATAACTGAGGGTTTCTTTGAAGTGGTAAGATTTACTAAGACTTTCGAGGATTAAGCACTGCCTTTGAACCTGGTGTGTCTTGTTTGTAGCTTCACGGGCCAAGCAACAGTGCTAGAGCGTAAGGACTTGTTATAACTGGGGCTCTTCAGCTCTCAACTGAACTGCTCTTTTAAAAACAAGGTACATTTACTCCCTGCCACTCATCATCCCTTCCTCCTCTGGGAGCAACACATTACAGACAGGTTTTGCTTCTAGCAATTACATTCAATGGCAGATTTTAATGTGGCGACAAGTTTTGCACATGAAATAGTGGCAATTCAGCTTTTAAGAATGTCTGAAGCATCAGTAGATTACGTAAACTAAATAGAGAGCAGTTTCCTGTAAATTGTTGCTGTATTGAAGTTGCTCATCAAATGTACCAAATATCTTGGCAACCTGCTGCAAATAACTGATGTGAACAAATAGGGCAGCAGATGTTAGTCTGTATCCGCGCTGTCTTTTGGGTGGATAACAGTTTTCTGCTGTTCCTAGTCAGGAACTCTTAACTAACTGCTTTGTCAGCTAGTATCAGCTGGTATTGTGCTTTGCTCCTACTCATCATCCAGGTCTTAATGTTTTGTTGGTTTTTTTTTGAGGACTGCATTCAGGTATTTAGCTGTGAAGAGTGAGCATAATGGGATTCTTCAGACAGGCAAAAATATTCCGTAAACTTGGTACGAAATACCCTTTGCAAGTATAGGAGTGATATCTGAGGCCGCAAACTGCAGAGCATAAACTGCTCTAATATGAGAATCTGCGTGCTGGTGCTTATAAGCTTTTAGTGTTGTGTTACGCTGAACTAGAGACTGTGGAACAGTCAGCTTTTCTGTAAAACCTCTGATAGAACAGGATTTTGTGGGACTTTAGAAGAAAAAGTGAAATCATATTCTGTAGACAATCTGATCTTTTGGGGTGATGTGGATGACTTCAGAATTTAAAGTAACCATGCAGAAAAGCTCTTCACAGAAATGTTTTGATATGTAGCTGTCTTTATACCGAAGCTGCCAAAGATGAGCTTGATGGCAGTTTATGGATGTCTGTATAATCTTCCTTCCTTCATTCAGATCGACTCGCTTGCAGGAATGGCATCGCTTAGTCTAGGTGGCTCAGCTGCTCCTCATACCCAGAGCATGCAAGGCTTCCCTCCAAACCTGGGCTCTGCGTTCAGTACTCCTCAGTCACCAGCAAAAGCGTTTCCCCCTCTTTCCACCCAAAACCAGACAACAGGTTTCAGTGGCATCGGGGGACTCTCTTCCCAGCTTCCAGGTACTGCTATCCGGGTGGAGCAGTTTGTGGTTTTGATCCATCAGGGCTAAGGCACCGTCATTGCCGTGGTTGGAAATACCATGGAACCGGACACACAGCTGTGTGTCGTGTGGGAGGGAGTCAGACAGTCCACGCTCCTAGGAGGACTTCAGAATGTTGCAGCTGCAACGGGTAACAAGTTTGAGCATCGAGGGGGTGACTTGTTTAGAGAGATTTGTAGCAGCATTATTTTAGGTTGGGACAGAGGTGGGGAGTTGCTTGAGATAAAACTGCTTGGAGTTGGATAGTTATGAGGGTATATAGCTCTGAGTTCTTGGAAATGGCAAGTGCTGGGAGGGAGAAGTGTGTGCTGTGAAGGGTGCAACTGAGATGCCTAGTTGTTTGCTTTTTGGAAGGTGGTCTTACTACGGGTTTGCTTTTCGGTAGGTGGTCTTACTACGGGTAGCCTGACTGGCATAGGAACTGGAGCCCTGGGCCTTCCTGCGGTGAACAATGACCCATTCGTGCAAAGGAAGCTGAGCACATCTGGACTGAACCAGCCTACATTCCAGCAGAGTAAGATGAAACCTTGTAAGTGGTAGTGTTGTCTGTGGCTGTGAAGTGTGACTGTGGTCTGCAGTTCATCTGCATTTCCTTCAGGGGAGGCTTGGACCTGTAGGTGGTCAATGGTATAAATGTGGCGCTTGTGTTATGCCAGTAGTCTGAAAAAGGTGCTTCTAAACTTCTATACTAAAAGCTTGCCAAGTGGCCCAGGGCAGATTAAAAAAAGGCTGTTAGTGTAAAAATATAACGTGTTATGGATTTGCATGAACAGTGTGTTTCTGTGTCCTTTGTTGTGCTGTGTTTTGAACAAAAGTGTTGTCCTGCTCTTTATGGAGAGTTGTATGCATCTGGTAAGAGGGTGGGTTGGGTTTTGTTGTAGCAAGGTTAAAGCTACCTGGGTAAGGTCCTGTTGTGGCGGAGAGCTTGACAGGTGAAGCAGTGACTTAGACTGCAACATGGGAAGAAATAAGACTAATATAAGTTGTTGGGAATGTGGTTTTTGGAAGGAGTCATTTGGTCCTTGACACTGAGCCGTTACCCATAACTCATTTATGCCTCTCAAGTACGCTCACAATGAAATGTTTAAACAATCAAATGTTGCCTTTAGGAAGCATAGACCTGTGCTAAACCCTTAGCACTGCTGTTACTGCGTATCTCAGTCTCCTCTGATAGCTCCTCCATAAAAGCAAAGTCACCAGCCTCTGCAGATGTGCAGTGGAGGTGGCTGTAGTCACCATTGGTTTATATCTTGGGCTTGAACATTCATTCAGTATTAGCTTAGTTGAAGCTCGCTGGCTGGCCTGAAAGTTTGTGTGAAAGTTTGTCTGCATGTTTGTGTTGTGTAGCATGCTTTTTTCTGGTCTGTACTGCATTCATTTACTTTAGGTGTCAGTTGAGGTTAGCTTGGGATGCAGTGGGGTCTAGGGATTCAACAGTATGAGGTTAATTCTGAGGATTTGGTTCTTTTGCATAAATATAACATATTGAAAACAGATTTTTAAATAACAGTGCCTGTCTACTAGAAGGGTTAAATATCCTGCTTTTCAGGAGAACTAGCAGGCTTTGTATGGGTCGGTGGAAGAGTTGAGAAGGACGAGATGAAATCTTGACTGCCTGCAGTTCTGAGCATGATACCTCTTCCCTTTCTGAACAGCTGACTTATCTCAGGTGTGGCCGGAGGCTAATCAGCACTTTAGCAAAGAAATAGATGATGAGGCAAACAGCTACTTCCAGCGTATTTACAACCATCCACCACATCCAACCATGTCCGTTGATGAGGTGAGTTCCCTTCTGGAGCAGTTGCATCGCCTGTCCAGAGACTTGCTATAAAGTTGATAGTAATTATTCTTTCATGTATTTGTTTTATTAGACGATAATAAAGGGCTAGTAGTAGATGCTTGCAGCACTGCATTTTTGCTTGGTTGAAATTGTATATTTCCCAGGCAGCATGCTTTCAGAGTAAACTTGCAGCTGATCATTACATTCAGCTTGGACTTCCGTGAACTGAAGACTGTAGATGTTGTCTAATTAACACTCCTAAAATGATGCTAAGTGGGAAGAGTTCAATGCAGAGTGGAAGCTTATGTGTTCAAAATAAGTGCTAAAGTGTGCCTTTAAACAGTTGGTATACATTATATTGAATGTATTAGGTTTTGAAGTGTCTAAAAGTGACTACAACTTCTAAATATATAAAGATGTCCTAAGTTCTGCCTCTGAGCTTCAATAATTATTTTGGTTAGTCTCTATGAGAGTAATTAGCAATCTGATGTACTTGCTCTTTGAAGTACTTCAAATGTAGTTTAATATATTTGTGTGGTTATAAATTATGGAAGACACTGAACATAAATTTTGATTTTTCTAATCTGGAAGTAATGGAGTAGGCAGTGACAAAAAGTTTTATGTGAAAACAGCTACTTAAAAGAAAGGGGAGAAAACTGAAGTCGGAAGAGGAAGCTTGTTGTAGTGATGTAGTATCTACCAACTACAATGAGATTTTCTTGAAGCAGTTATTCTGCAGTCTAGCCAGTGCTAGTACAGTTTACCTTAGGTGCAAGCGCTCTTGAAACCTGAAGGTGCAGAAGGGCTGAAATAGAGCAGATTTGTTGGTAACAATTTCCAATTTCTTTGCAGGTCTTGGAAATGCTGCAGAGGTTTAAGGACTCAAATATTAAACGGGAGCGAGAAGTGTTCAACTGTATGCTGAGGAACTTGTTTGAGGAATACCGTTTCTTTCCCCAGTACCCAGATAAAGAGCTGCACATAACAGCCTGCCTCTTTGGTGGGATAATAGAGAAAGGACTGGTTACTTATATGGCATTGGGCCTGGCCCTGCGCTATGTTCTTGAAGCCTTACGAAAGCCTTTTGCATCCAAAATGTACTATTTTGGTATTGCTGCACTAGATAGATTTAAAAATAGGTAAGTGAGTTTTTTGTAATACTGGTAACAGTACTTGTAATGTTGTTAACCTCGAAGCTGCTCTAATTATGCAGTACAAGATTGCTTGTATGTGTTAGAAATTTACTATTACTATTTGTACTGTTCATTACTGAAAGGCTGGCTAGGAAATAAGCTCTAGGACTTTGGTTTTACACAGAAAAATATAGCAAAAAGTATCATTAAAAAAAAAACCTTTGAGAAACCTTTTAATGGATTGCAGATAGAGGAGACTCTCAAGGCAGGCTGCAGTAGCTGGCAGGATTGTACACCCGTGGGAAAAGTCTCCATTTTGGAAGAAGATACTTGAATTTGAAAACTAGTATAAAGCTTCCTGTAATTATTTAATGACTAGAAATGTGTGGGCTTTGAAGTGTGGACTCATAAGCAAGGAGCACATTATCTTTGGTCCTTCTCCTTTCATAGTTCATCTGCCCTGCAGTATTTTCTGTAATAAAAGCTGTTGCTTGTGGCAGTCGTAGTTGGTTATCGTGTTGTGGAGTTTGCTGACCACAATGAATAAAGACACTTAAAGCTGACATATTTGAGACTTAGCTACCTTCTTACTTCTCTTAAGGACCATTTTAAGTGGGAGCTAAAGATTTCACTCGCAATGAGTAGTAACAATGTCTACCATTCATAAGTAGAACTATAATAATTGGTGAGCATAGGTGAAGCTTCTGTCTTGGGTGTTAGGGCCACTCTGATTTGCTGTTTAAAATACACTGAGCCAGACTATAAATTACTTACCCAGTAATCTTATTGCAAACACTGAATATAAATGCAATTTTGTGCTTGGTCCGAAGTACCAAGATGCAGGATAAGAGTTGTTGCTGTGAATAAACCTTGTATTTTGCTGTTAAATGAATTGGTTTCAAACAAGTTTTGCAACAAAAAGTACTTCGTAGAAAATACTTCGTGTCATAGCTGGTGTAAGGAGTCCAGAAGTAATTCTGTGATGCAGTATGGGAATGACATACCGGTGTTATATTTGTATTTCTCTGTAATACTGTTTCTGATCTGGGCTTATATTAGTGTTTTGTCTGACAGACTGAAGGACTATCCCCAGTATTGTCAGCACTTGGCTTCTATTAGTCACTTTATACAGTTCCCGCATCATTTACAGGAGGTGAGTGTGTACGTATTAGCATGCTAGCTTTCTATGATTTTACATTTTTTTGAGCAAATTCCTGTTTGCCTTTGGAAAAATAGTCTGAGCTGTCACAATTTTAGATACTGTGCATCCACAGAATGAAATGCCTTCAAGGTTTTGCCAGGGATGGGGTGGACAGGTGATGGTGGTTGTCTGGTACCTCTTCTGTTTCCGTAAATCTGTTTGGGTTGCTTATGTTGAAATAGCTACCTGAATATAACTGCATGATCAACCAGTGCACATGGCCACGCACAAAGGTTTTAAAGTGCATCGGTGGATTCATTATTCCAGTCCCTTAAGAATTTGGAGTTTTCCGCTGAAACAGAGGGCATTCAGCTCACTTTAATACAGTTTCATACTCAGACCTGCAAAAGCAATCCAGATAAAGGTGCGAAAAATTTCATTGCTGAAGATCTGATCAGAGTATGGGAAATGTCCTGTAGTCCAAGAAGTAAAAGCAGTGTTGATCATACAGTGTCTGCCTCCATGGTGCTGTCATTGGTAGAAATGCAGAAAAGCTAATCCCAGTGGCAGAGCTTGAGAGCATGATCTAAATAAGGAAAAATGTGCAGCTCAGACGTTAAGGTAAAGAGGCTGTCTACCCAAAGCTGTGAAGTCGAATAGCAGCCTCAAGTTCACTAACAGCTTTCAGACGATATCTCTTAAATAAGTGTGGTGTCTGATGTTATAGATTTCTGGGTAAATGTATTTCGGTGGGGAAGAAACTTATTTTCTGCTGTGGAGCTACTTTAGAGGATGTAAGAACTTAGTTGGACATTTCAAAACTGTGGTTTTGCTTATAAATTGTGAACGTCAGACTTTACCATTTCTACGTAGCTGTAGGAGTCCTTGGAGAAGACAACTTATCTGCTTTGTAACCAGTTTCTTGATATTGATGCATTTCTTATGCTGTTTCCCCTCTTTTTGCTCTGCTGTCCCAGGCCTGCAGGAATGGGGGTTTCTGGGTGGTGCTCTAACATTTTAAGGATGCCGAATCTCTTGATGCTTGGCATCAACCTGTTGATGTTGGAGATGGAGCTTGAGGCTCCTCTCCAGTAAGAAAGACAGTATATAGTGACGAGGTGTGCTGCTTAAGGTATTCAGTTGTAGTTTGCAGACTTCCTTCATGGCATTAGTGTGAAGTATTTTAAAGATTGCTGTCAAACTTCTATACTGCTCGCACTAAAACTCAGCCCATTGTTCTGTTGTGGTTTGAACTTCTGTATGTGCTTCTTCACCCTGTTTTAGTACATAGAATACGGACAGCAGTCCAGAGATCCTCCTGTGAAGATGCAGGGTTCAATCACCACCCCTGGAAGTATTGCACTTGCCCAGGCTCAGGCCCAGGCCCAAGTTCCAGCAAAAGCTCCTCTTGCTGGCCAAGTCAGCACTATAGTAACCACCTCAACCACCACCACTGTTGCAAAAACCATTACAATCACCCGACCAACTGGAGTCAGCTTCAAGAAGGATGTGCCGGTAAGCATTCTGTCATGCCAGTCCCCTTACCGGAGAAGCAAAGGACTTAAGTTGCTGGTCTGGATTGAGTATGTACAGTCAAAATCCAATTTAGTTTCTGTACTACAGGTTTTGAGACTGTGAGCCATGTTTTATATCTGAAGCATATAACCTCTTAAAATATGACTGACATTTTTGTAGAGAGAAGGCATTTTTGATCATGAAACTATAGAATTACTATGGTGTCAAGTAGAAGTGCGTTTATTGAGGTTTTAGTTATCAAGACAATTACAGAACTATCATTTTTGTTAATGACTTGCAATAGAATTCATGAAATAGTTGGCAGCTGCTGTTGTCCTGGGGGCTTGAACACTTACTGCGCAGTAAATTGCATTTGACCTAGCAGTTCTAACTGCATTAGGTTTTCCAGATCTTCACTTATATAAACAAATCTCTGAGCTGCCAGTCAGAGTTACTACAGGTTTGGCAAGTTGATAGTATTGGCTATTCCACAGAAGGTGGTGGGGTGCACTTACTCACGTGTACGCCGAGGATGCGTAGAGCTGTTTCTGTGTGATAAGTGATGCGCTGTAGTGTCAAGCCTGTCTAGCTTCCTGGCAGTGTCTGTGTATCATGCTCTTACAAGAAACTAAAGGAGGCAAAAGCTAAAGGTAGCTGGAAGTTGTGAACAACTTTTGGGGGATGGTTCATAGTGTTGCTGTCCATGTCTTTCACACCTGATCATGTCATGTGGATAATTCTTATTTTGTGGCATTTATATTGCACAATTTCAAACTCCAGTCATGTTTGATACTTAAAACTGTATCTCCTTTCCCCTGAATAGCAGTGTACCGGGTGCTAAAGCCCTTGGGTTTAGACCTGCAGCTGCAGGGACGTGGGTCACATTCTGTTGGCTTACAGTTGGCTTGCTTTCTCAGAAATGCAGCTCTGGGGTTTCCCCATCCCAGTTCAGCACTGAAGTGCTCCTGGAGACTCACTGCTGTACTAAGTACTGTGCTCTGTTGCACTGTGATTTTTCTCCAGGCTAACAGTGTACACAGGCTGTTAGCTGAACGGGTGCCATTGCAGTGGCAACTATTATATATGCATGTGAATGCTAGAAGTATTTCATACAGCAGCATTCTGCTGAGTATTAGTCGTCATTTGTAGAGTGAAAAAATCGCTGAGCTTCATTAGAGTGCTGCTAAAAATGACTCCGAGATGCTAAATGTCACGTGACATGCTCAATTCTTTTTTTCGCTTGACAGAACAGAGCAAAAATTTCTTTTGGTGTCGCCTCTAGGTATTGTCTGTTCTTAACTTCTTGTTCTCCCTCCAGCCTTCCATTAATACTACCAACATTGATACGCTGTTAGTAGCAACAGATCAAACAGAGAGAATTGTGGAACCTCCAGAGAATGTCCAGGAAAAAATTGCTTTCATCTTCAATAATTTGTCTCAGTCAAATATGACACAGAAGGCAAGTATGGAAGGATGCTAGTAAATTCAATTTTTTACATGTTTCTGGAAATCCATTCTGAAGTGGTGGGTGATGATGTTTTTATAAAAATGCCAGCTTGCAAAAGATTTGGATGGAACACACTATAAAGAATTAGTAGTTCCTGACACTTTCTGCTTGAAGCTCTTTGGAGATACAGTTTTTCAGGGAAAGAAGAGATGGATATGAGAGCTGTTCTTAATCTTGCTATCTCCTACAAGTTTCCTTGTTTTGGTATAGCCAGATCCTTTGTACTAAAGCAATGCTTTGTTTTCAGGAAAGCACTTCTAGTAGATGCCAAGAATAACTGATGGATAGTCCTCTCTAATGTTTTTGTTCTCTGAAAGTGCTGAAAAATACTAATGCAAGTTTCTGAAAGCCATTAATACAAATTTGAACAAACATTGACATCCCAGATTATGCCTTGCTGATTTTATGATTAAGTCCTTGCTGCTTGACCAGATCTTTGGATATTGAGACACTGATTTCAAAGCATTTAAAAAAAATAAACAAACAAACAAACAAAAAAAAAAACCACAAAAAACCCTTAGTGTTAAAAGCAGCTGACCATGACTATGTGTTGGGCAAAGCTGACCCCAGAAGTTTTTGGTCATCTTCTCATATCTTCTGTGGCATGTATGTTTATGTTTGGTTTTGGGTTTTTTATTTTTTTCTCTTTTTTTTTTTTTTTGCTGTGGAGACAGGTTGAGGAATTGAAGGAAACAGTGAAAGAAGAGTTCATGCCTTGGGTATCACAGTATCTTGTGATGAAGAGGGTCAGTATTGAGCCTAATTTTCACAGCTTATATTCAAACTTCCTTGACACGCTGAAGAATCCAGAATTTAATAAAATGGTTCTGAATGAAACCTACAGAAACATCAAGGTGAGTAGTGCAAGTTTGCTAATGCTTAGGTAGATTTAAAGATTGAAGTGCGCTGTTCTCAGACTGTTTGCTTCCTATGTTGCTGGTTGTTCAAATGCAGAGTATCATTCAAAAATTTACTCGCTAGCTTACAATTGAACTAGTAGGTTACTTGTATGAATACTAGGATTCTTCTGTTTTCAGTCATGAATGTACCAAAGACTTAATTCTAATTGAATGAGAGGGCAAATCTGCATTTGAATTCATTTATGTGGGTGGACTCCAAATTTATGTGAGGCTTGCAAGTTATAACCTAGGGGAAGATTGCTTATGGTCTAGTTTGTTTGTACAGGGTGAGTATAAAGATAAGAAAACCACGCTCTGCCTTTGTGGTCAAAAAAGAATGAAGGCGAGTGTTTAGAAAGTGGGGGTGTGACAACCCAAATTTACTACAGGGCTAAGATAATTGTGAAGGTAGGGAGGAGAGAGAAGCAGTAGCCCTGTAAAGATGAGTGGATGAAACATGTTTGTCAAGCAAGCACTATATTTAAACCTGTTGGTGGAATTTCCTGACTGCCATGGGTTACGCTGTAGTGCAAAAGAATCTCCTCGCTCTATAGAGCATAGCTGACTTTGCTCTGTTCAGCTGATGCTCCTCTGAAGCTAAGGAACAGAGCTAACAGCAGAATAGTTGTGACATGATTCAAGTCTTGAAGTGAGAAGTAAATGGTTTCCCAAGAAGTACCAACTGTAGCCTTCAGATCTGTGGTAAAACATTGAGAGGAAGAATTACCTTCACAAGTTTTACTTTAAGCAAGTAGTCGTAACAGTCTTGACAGAGTAAATGGTAAGGTCTGGAAACGTATAATCCTCTTTTGATCCTCTTGAAAGAAAGGGATTTTGAAATCATTACAGGGCAGATTTACAGGGTACTGCCTGGAAGTGAAGGCTGCTCTTGAGTGTTTCAGTAATGTGATGCAAGCTCAGAACTTAATGTTCTAAAACTTCACATCTGAAGTCAGATCAGCTGCTGGATTTGGGTTTGGGTCTGATTATCTTCCAGTTGTTGCTCAAGTTGCTTTTTTTTCATTAGGTGCTACTGACATCGGATAAAGCTGCAGCCAACTTCTCAGACCGTTCCTTGTTAAAGAACCTTGGTCACTGGCTGGGAATGATTACGCTGGCTAAAAATAAGCCCATCTTGCACACGGTGAGCTTCTGTCTTTACAGATTTTTTTGGCATGAATCAGTATGCTCTTACACCATAGCACAGGCTGTTTGGGAAATTTTACCAGCTTATTAGTGCCTCTTTTTGATGTGCTAAGTACAAAGTATGATTCCAGAGCTGGTCATTTAAGACCTCTGTATATCAGACAAGTTAGTAGTTAAGTTCTTGCTGAAACAAACTATTTAATCCCATGTAAAAATGTATATTTGTAAATCTTTGTTCAAAATATAGCTGCTGCTTAGCAGTCTGTAACATTCAAGGACTGTCTTAACTCAACCTTGCCAATGTGTCCTGTAAAGAAGTAGCATGTAAGTGGAGTTTTTGCAGTGTGCTGCTTGTTTTCTCCACCCTCTTCCCCTTTTCAATTGTTGATGAAATTTTTCAGGATTTGGATGGTTGCCAAAGTCTTAGAATCCAGCGTCAGGAGTGTGGTAAGTGACTTTGTGCTGACAGAGTTATTGCTCAAGTGACAAAATAAGTACTACAGAAAGTAATTAGCTTTTTTTCCACAAAGGGAAAACTGGTTGAATTTCATGCAGAGAAAGAAAAGGAAGGCGAGAGCTTAATGTGAAGGAGTTCTGTTTTGAGGGACAGTACATGGCCCAGGTGTTTTTGCAGTCTAAATAGGTGGTGTTAGCTGAACTGTACTGTGGTATCCCTGCACAGAACTCTATTGAGAAATGGAAGGATGCCATTGAAGGGTTTCTAAGATCTATTCATTCTTTGATTTGATTTTTTTTAATTCACCCCACCGCACTTTGACCCTGATCAACTCTTGTAGGTTCTGCTTGACACAAAACTGATCCCTCAGAAGGACCAAGTCATTGTGTTTCTAGTTTAATGTTCAACTAGCTTCCTAATGGAGTTGTGGTCAAAAAGAATACTGAATTCAACCCTAATTGCAACTGTACAAACTTTTCCATGTCTGTATGCACACATGTTCACGTTTCAAAAGTTTCCAGTCGGAAGTTATCCAGATGATTCAAGAAGTTTGTATAATACTGCTCCCCTCTTTCTCTTGTAGGTCTTCAGGCCTCCAAACCCATGGACAATGGCCATTATGAATGTTTTAGCTGAGCTACATCAAGAGCATGATCTAAAAGTAAACTTCTGTTTTTCTTTTCTCTACCTACTGAGTGTGAGGTTTACTTGACGTGCCAGTCAAGAAGGATGTTGTGAAGGACCAAATTTCACTTCTCGCTGCCTTAGCGTGGGGAGAATTGGGCATTGCTTAATTTGGTAGAACTTGCATGCTGACCTCGAAGGAGAAGAGTTTCATCCAAGATACTTGTCTAATCCTCAGTCACTATTAAAGTTTCTAGAAGGCGTGGGGTTAGAATGGGAAGCTTGGGAGTCGAGCGGCCCAGTAAATGTTTCGGGTATTTTCCTTGTGACATAACCTAAACTAGAATTGTTGTGCAGTTGAATCTGAAGTTTGAGATTGAGGTGCTCTGCAAGAATCTTGCACTAGACATCAATGAGCTGAAACCTGGAAGTCTCCTGAAAGATAAGGATCGTCTGAAAAATCTGGATGAGCAGCTGTCTGCTCCGAAGAAGGATGTGAAACAGCCAGAAGAGCTACCACCCATCACAACGACTAGTAAGTACATTTCATGTAGAATTCAGAACCTCACTGTAGAAGTTTAAATAGGACAGGTTATGCCATTGCAAAGCAAAATATGCTGTGGTAACAGTGCTGAATGCTTGGAGCACTTGGATAGTTTTGTAACAGAAGTATATGTACAGAGTTTGGAGAGGGAATGGAAGCATCCTGAGGACCAATTGTACCTGTGCTGTGTGTAGCTACCCCTTAGGGAGTGAAGCAGTATAATCGATTAACAAGATGTCAGAGGCTAAGCTGTATCGTAACAAACAGCTCTGCTGAAATGTGCTGAAGCTGGTTCGGTACTAATCATTGGGAAAATGGGGAATAAAAATTGCTTGATAAGTTTAGGAGGCTTCATAATCAAACTTTGTTTCTTGGTCACTTGCCATACTTCCATTATAAGCACTTGCTTTTCGATAATGGTCCAATACAGATATTCTTGTATTCCATAGCTGCTTCTACAACTCCAGCTACCAGCACCACTTGTACAGCCACGGTTCCTCCACAGCCCCAGTACAGTTATCACGACATCAACGTCTATTCTTTAGGAGGGTTGGCTCCGCATATTACCTTAAATCCAACGGTAAGTTTTGGAGCTGATTTGGTTTGCTGAAAGAATTGTTGCCACCATTGTTGTCACAGATCTCAGCTGGTGGGAGCAGCATTTTGTAAGGTGAAGTTATTGGAGATTCACTTCTCAAAAGTTTTGGGGAGGGTGAGTGCTAACAAGTAATCAAATGGAGAACTTTAGGGATGGTTAGTAGTTAATGTTAGCTAACAGTTTCAAATGGTTGAGTGATCTTTCACGGGGACATTTACATTAGTATCCAATTTTATTTCTGACAACGAGTGTCAGCTGGGATAGTTGCTGCCAGGATTTAAGCTTCAAAGTAGCTTCCTCCTTTTGACTAGTTGGTGACTTAGCTATTTAGTCTTTCCGTTGTGTTTGTCTGCAACTTTGGAAGAAAGTCAGATAGCCCTGTTTCAGAATTACCAAACTGATGTTGTAATAGCTGCATGTGGAATACAGGAGTGCTGCACTATGGGCAAGCTGTGACAGAACACTTAAAAGTTGGTTGGAAAATGGGAATGCGTAGAGTGGATGGGTTTCTGGTTTACTTTGTTCTCATTTAACTATCTAATCCTCCTCCAGATTCCGCTGTTTCAAGCCCACCCGCAGCTGAAGCAGTGTGTGCGGCAGGCAATAGAGCGAGCAGTGCAAGAGCTTGTCCATCCGGTGGTCGATCGGTCCATTAAGATTGCCATGACTACTTGTGAGCAGATAGTCAGGAAGGACTTTGCGCTGGATTCAGAGGAGTCGCGAATGCGTGTGGCCGCACACCATATGATGCGGAACCTCACTGCTGGGATGGCCATGATTACCTGCAGGGAACCTTTGCTGATGAGCATAGCTACCAACCTGAAAAACAGTTTTGCCACTGCGCTGAGGGTAAGAATCGCATCATCTGAAGCTTATTTCCAGCTTATTAGTCTGTAGACATCCAGTATTAGCAAATCACTTCTCCACATTGTAGACCTGTTGATTTAGTTGCTTAACTAGTGCAGGGATGAATTTAGTGGTCAAAAGTCTCATGACTCTTGTGGAATTACAGTGAGGAAAGCTGTGCTGAAATAACAGCTCATGTCAAACAGCCTTCAGGCTGCAAGGTGGATCTTGCCATGTTGCACACAAACTTCATGGCTACCTTTTTATACTGCCCCAGTGTTCTGTCCAGTGTGGAGGTTCTATCTTTCTGTGGGTTTTGAGGTAGAAAAGCTAGAGGGGGGGGACTGAATTGTTTCTGGGACTTTCTGGTGATCCCTTGGATTGTCTCAGCAATCATGCATGTTTCACGCAGATTTTATTTACTTGTGTTGTTAGCAGATAGGTAGTTAAGATTTTTCTGCACAGCTTGTTAGTTCATTGGGTTTTCCAGAGACTATTTTCAGCTCTCTTCACAAACAAAATTTGAGCTGCTGCTCTAACTTCCTCTTCTTGGCTAAATGGAGCACAGTTCACGAGCTGCTGGCCAAAACAGCGGCTGCTACTCAGAAAACTTGCTGTGCTTACTGTCAGTGTGGGCAACAGACAGACAAACATAAGGATCTTGGAAAGATCAAGATGTTGATGTCCTTTCAGGGATTTAAAAGGAGAAGTGAAAGACCTGCCTACATCTATGCTTAAGGGCTTGCTAGTGTTGGACCTCTGTGAGAGTGAGAGCGCAAAGGCCCTTTTGCAAAGAGGTTGCTCTCTTGCCTTCTTCAGCCAGTTACAGTGCAGGATTTGATGGTTGGAAGGGAGCACAAAATGTTAGCAAGAATTGCATTGGCAGGTGTAGGATGGGTAGTCAATGGTGTAACTCCCAGGTCTCAAACACTGTTGATCCTTCATATACAGAACTTCAAGTAACTTTATTGCTGAGGTGAAGAGCAGGAAAAACACATAAATTAATTATTCATCAATTTTAAACTGCCTGCTCCCATCCTTCTGGTTTAGTATTGGCTTTGTTAACATGTGAGCTGAGCCAGTGACCACTGTTAGTGGCTGTGCTAACAGTTTGGGTGTCAAGCTAGTAACCATAAGAGAAAGCACGGTTCTCCTCTGGGTAAGAGAGGCACAAATATTTCTCTGGTAGGCAGTGTTGCTGTGTTTCATCAGATGTGACTACAGTTCAGATAGGGATGTAGTTGGAGAAATGCTAATCATCTCTTGGGTGGCAGGAGAAGGTAGAGATGTGACAGGTGAGTTGTGGAGGCAGGGTGAATGCAGGCCGGTGCTACATCATGTCTACCAGGTATGATGTGCCACTGAAGAACACGCCTAAGCAGAAGTATTCGAAGTTTTGTGGAAGACTTAGTGCTGTGTATTGTGGTGTTTGCAAAATGTCATAAATGCTGTGAAAATATAACACAGTGGTCAAGTTTTTCTGTCCCTGAAGGCGTATGGCATTGATACAGGGCCAGCTGTAATCCAGGCAATTTTCTTAAGGGGTAATTATAGAAAAAGTTGTGTTGCAGGTAAGTGCTGCGTGAAACATCTAAAAATTCACACAGGCTTGTTGTATGAAGTGGATTAACAAGTAAGAATTTCTTTTATTTGACAGAAGCAGTGTAGTTTTCAGGAATTAGTCAGATAGGGGTACATCTTAATGGACAAGGAAATCCAAGTAGATTGGACTGTTTGCATTTATTTGCGTGTTCCGTTTCCAGTGGGAATTGCTGCTTTGCACCCTGGAAAGTAACTCCACCTGTTCGGGGTTCTCTTAAAACAGACTTCCAGAAGGAAAGACGAAAACCTGTCTCAGGAAGGGAACCAACTGAAAAAGGCTCAGGACTGCTGTTTTGCATGGTTTGAGATGCACCTTTATATCTTCTGATGACAGCCTAGGAAGTGGAAAAACTTTTAGGCTGTGATTGCGAGGCTTACTTTTCCTGCATTAGCATCTGTTGTATGTGCATCAGTCTAAAGCAGGGCTTTATTTCGATGCCCCGGAGGTAGGCTGGTGGAGAAAATGGAGAACCTCCTGCTGTTTTGTTCTTTGTTGAAAGTCTTTACTGTTGTCTTGCCTACATGTTTTATTCAAAGGTATGCAAAATTAAATTTATTACTGTATATTCCATGCAAAGAGAGTGCATTCCTAGGAGCATTTCTTTTTATTGCTGGTATTCTTTATAGGCAGTAGTGCAGATTTTAAGGCTAGTAAGATACAGGGAAAATTCACAGCCTTTGCTGATTATTGTGGTTTTCAATAGGCAGCCTCCCCACAACAGAGGGACATGATGGAGCAAGCAGCTGCCCAGTTAGCGCAGGACAACTGTGAGCTAGCATGCTGCTTTATCCAGAAGACAGCTGTGGAAAAGGCAGGCCCTGAGATGGACAAGAGGCTTGCAACTGTAAGTATGGGACTGCTGTCTTTTAAAGGTATTGTATGTGTTCAGATACATCCAGACTCAGTATCTAAAATTCAGTGTGGTGTTTGGGTTTTTTCCCCAGGAATTTGAGCTCAGAAAACATGCTAGACAAGAGGGTCGTCGGTACTGTGATCCCGTGGTGTTAACTTACCAGGCTGAGCGAATGCCAGAACAGATCAGGTTAAAGGTGAGGATATTAACTGAGCTGCATTCTGATGCTGCTCTTTTCCCCCTCTTGATAATGAAAAGTGGGTGTTACAGCTTCAGCTGAGCAATCCTGTGTATTGTTAGTCTTGTCTAACAGTGCAACTATTATTAGCTTGATTAGTAATGGAAACACATGAGTATGTTGTCCTTGAGGACATTAAAAGTCTTCCCTTGTTCTGTGCTGTTGCTTTCACTGAAAGATGCCAAGTCTGTTTTGTTGTCTCCTTTACGTTTTCTTCCCTTAAAGGACATACCAAGTGCTCTCAGCAGAGCATTTCTCTTGTGCATCAGATGCGCGTGAAGCCAGTATTCAGTTATTCCTGTTTCTGGGAATGTGATTTGCAGTTGTAGAGCAAAATCCTCCTGTTAGGAAGTGTGACAGGAGACATAGGACCTCAGTGCAGAGCAGCTGAGTCCTACTTCTTGATGTCTAGGCCATTCTGGTGAAGAATGAGACTGAGCAGCTACCTGTTACGCAAACTGCCTCACTTCTTACTGCCACCGTGCTTAACAATGAAGTTAATGCCTGTTCTTTTCATTGCAAAGGTTGGAGGTGTGGACCCAAAGCAGCTGGCTGTTTATGAGGAGTTTGCACGCAATGTCCCTGGCTTCTTGCCTACCAATGACTTAACTCAGCCTACAGGATTCTTGGCTCAGCCCATGAAGGTAGAGGTTTCCAAACGAGTCGGTTTAGTTGAGAGTGCTGTCACCCTTTTGGTGAATGCTGCAGAACTTGTGTCCTTTGCTGGAAGACTAGTAAGAATCAGAGATTTGTCTTGCTTGGGAATAGTGGTTGAAAGACGTGTTTGTTGTGATGTTGGACTAATCTCAACGTAAAACTTCTGTTTAGTGTTAGGGGTTTGTAACCCACATTGGGGCAAGATCTGCAAGTTATGATTCCTACATGTAGTTTTAGTAGCAGTGAAAAATTTTACTCAAATGTCACATTATTTTTGGAGAAGGTCGTGGATGGCAAGCATGGATTTTGAGAGAATGAACAGGTCTTTATATGCATAGTTGGTCTTAAGGACTGCTAGAATTGTTTGCTAGTTATTTCTGCAACTTAATTTGCTTGTAGTTACTTAAGATGCTGGCATAACTGACCGCAATACTGTAGAGGTCTAGATTTTGGATGCCAGAATGAAGTAGTAGAGCCAATCAGTATTTGAGTTTTGCAAACCTGGTCCTTGAAAAAAAAATCACTCGCTCTCACTTTCTCTTAAGCAGCAAGCTTGGGCTACGGATGATGTAGCACAAATCTATGACAAATGTATGACAGAACTGGAGCAGCACCTGCAGTCCATCCCACACACCCTAGCCATGAATCCTCAAGCTCAAGCGTTGCGCAGCCTGTTGGAGGCTGTGGTAGTGGCTCGTAACTCCCGTGATGCTATTGCTGCACTTGGACTACTGCAGAAGGTGAGTGTTAACTCTTCTCCTGTAACACCTCATCTAGACTTTATTACTCATCCGGCTTGTGGATTGTCTTGCTGGTGACTGTGTCTTCATGCATCCTGTGGAACTTGCTTGGTGAGGAATACTGAACAACTGCCGTCCTTGGAAATTCAGTAAATAAAACTGGATGAGGGCCGTGGTGTTCACTTGGTGTATGGTACACGCAATGGCCGGGCTGCTGTGGGAAGAAGCAGATACAGAATCTTGGGACTTAAGGGAGCTTTGCTCAAATGTGGCAAATAGAGAGCTGTTGCATGATTTGGAGACTAGGATGATGTCTGAACTGCTCTTGTAGGTGGGTAGTATGGAGTGTAATATGGGGTTTACAGCGGCACACTTGCGGATTGTATTTTGTAGTAACTGAAACTGATAAATGAGTATGCTTGGTGGGTTGACTCTGGCCAGCGGCCAAGCATCCATCCAGCTGCTTGTTCATTCTGCTTTCCTGTAGGACAGGGAGAATACAGAGGGCAAGCAAGATGCCTTGTTCATTCAGATTATGACAGTTCAGTAGGGAAA